AGTTCAGCTGTTGCCTTAAAAGCGACATTACCATTTTTGGGGGTAGATGGTCTACTTTGTATTTCTCCAATTAGGACAGATTTTTTTGATTGGACCAAAGGTCTTGGCTTCGGTCTGCTTTAGAGCAGAAACTGCATAGTTTCATCATTTTTACTGCTTTTTAGGAGTCTCTTGGGCACTTTCCATGCCATAGGCAGTTACAAAGCACCTCTGTGGTAACTGGGTGACCATTTGCTTGGCATTGTCCCATTAGGCAATGTTAAATCTATATTTAGCTTTTATTCTCTGAGCTAGGGAGAAGGAAGGAAGCCACCCCTGTGTGACTGGTAGCTCTCTGTGGGTTGTTGGAGAGTGTTTGGTTGGCTAAGGTTGGAGAACTTTTGCTGTAGACCAGGTTTAGGAGGTTTGATCAAGACACAAGGTCATGGTTGAGGAGCAGCGTACAGAAGTTTGGGATCATACTTGTAGCAGGTTTTCATGATGCAACTGCATTTGTAATTTAGATAAGGACTTAATATCACAAGCTTGGGTGGCTTGGAAGAGAGTATATGAATTATATTTATCCCAAGAAATGAAAAGTATTTGTGCAATAGTGACTGGTGGTGGGTTTTTTTTCAGGGTTGAGTGCCAAAAGAAAGTGACAAAAGTTCAGCTGTTGCCTTAAAAGCGACATTCCCATTTTTGGGGCTAGATGGTCTACTTTGTGTTTCTCCAATTAGGGCAGATTTTTTTTGGTTGGACCAAAGGTCTTGGCTTCGGTCTGCTTTAGAGCAGAAACTGCATAGTTTCATCATTTTTACTGCTTTTTAGGAGTCTCTTGGGCACTTTCCATGCCATAGGCAGTTACAAAGCACCTCTGTGGTAACTGGGTGACCATTTGCTTGGCATTGTCCCATTAGGCAATGTTAAATCTATATTTAGCTTTTATTCTCTGAGCTAGGGAGAAGGAAGGAAGCCACCCCTGTGTGACTGGTAGCTCTCTGTGGGTTGTTGGAGAGTGTTTGGTTGGCTAAGGTTGGAGAACTTTTGCTGTAGACCAGGTTTAGGAGGTTTGATCAAGACACAAGGTCATGGTTGAGGAGCAGCGTACAGAAGTTTGGGATCATACTTGTAGCAGGTTTTCATGATGCAACTGCATTTGTAATTTAGATAAGGACTGCATATCACAAGCTGGGGTGGCTTGGAAGAGAGTATATGAATTATATTTATCCCAAGAAATGAAAAGTATTTGTGCAATAGTGACTGGTGCCCAGAATTTCTTGAAGAAGTTCTAATTTTTTTCAGAGTCTGTGTCATAATTGTTGGTTCCTCTTTCTGAGTTATCCAAACACCTCCACTCTTTGAACAGTCACAACCAAGGTTGCATTGATGATGAAGAACAGGTTTCCAGTTCCTTGCTCTTCTTGTATCCTGTGCTCTTGAAAAAAACACCCACTTGTTTTGCCCTTGTACTTCTGCTAGGAACATCTGCCCAGCAGCTGGATGCATCCTTCAGTACAAATGCCACCTTGGAGATATTCGAGGTTGACTTCAGGGATCCCTCCCTGGACATGAAGCAGAAAGGAACACTTCCTGCCTCAAACAGGTACTAGAGGCTTTTACTGACATATCCATCGGTGGAACTCTCAAGGGTGTTTCTGGTACAAGAAGGGAGAGGAGGAGATCGTGTTTTTGGGATATGAAGTGATCTTTTGGATCAAGTGACCTCTGTCTTCAAGAATTGAATGTTTTTTGTTGGCAAAAATCATGTTGGATGTAAAAGTATAGCAGCTGGACCATTGGAGAGGTCTGAAAGAACTTACGTGGTGGCCAGTGAGGAGAGTCATTCTGCATCATGTAAATTTTCTGGGGCTAGTGATTTGTAATGAAGAGACTAGAGGCAGAGTGAAACTTGTCTTCCAGCTTTCTAAGACAAGGTGATTTCTTAGGCTCATCAGTGCGAGTGACATTTACACCCAGTGTAAAACCCAGCCTTGATTTCTAACTAGCAGTTTTTACAGTGGATAAAGGTATTTTTCAGATAATAGCTCTAGAAAAGAATACATGTAGTTCTATAATCTAATTTTATGTATAGTGTAGGTTAGAGGAGTTCACCTACCAAATCCCATATGAAGTCCTAAACATTTTAAGGAGGGGGGGAAGAAGAAAAGACCAACTAGCTCTTCCTTTGTGAGTTCCCTGTAAAAGTCTTTGGAAGGAAACTAATTTACTTTTTGCCAGGTAAAAGCCACAGATACCTTCAAAGGGAAATATTTATTTAAGGTGCAGACCGATGATTGTGTTTGATAGATCAGAACGTGGATGAGGTTTTTAGTAATAGAGAGGTTGTCTTGACTTCCACCAAATACTGTGGCCTACGCCAGCTTTATTTTCTTCTTTTTTCTAGGTTTCATAAGCTGATCTGGGGTAACTTTGGAAACGGGTCCCCGGAGTCCTCCGGGGTGATTGTTGGTGGAGGAGATAACGGTGTGCTGACAATGTACAGCGTGCACCGGATCTTGACTTCGAAAAGTGAGCCCGTAATTGGGCAAACAGAGAAGCACTCAGGTCCTGTTCGAGCTCTTGACTTCAACCCTTTCCAGGTATGCGACGTTAAGAAGTGAAAGTTAACCCTCATATTCCAAAAAATATAGTTTTCCTTCCCGTATAGAGATTTATAAACTGAAGGGTCAGTTTTGAACCTGAAAGAGACGTGGTAGTTGTGACGTAAGAGTGGTTGGGGACTCACATTTGGGTTCTGTTCACAGCTTTGCCACTGAATTCCCTTGTGACCTTATCTTTCTGCTTACCAGTGGCAGCTCTCATCTGACTTCAGAAGCTTTTGTGGTGTTTTTTTACTTACATTTATTTTGAAGAAATCTGTCCTTTTTCCCTGTGAAACCCACCTGAGCTTTTCTTTTTTTTCTACAGAGTAACCTCTTGGCTTCTGGAGCCAACGATTCTGAAATTTTCATCTGGGACTTGAATAACTTCAGTGTGCCTATGACTCCAGGGGCTAAATCACAGGTAAAAGAGTTTTCCTCTGGGTAACACCCTTGCAGTTTTGTATCCCAGTAGGCAAAAAGGTGTGAGTGTGCGGAATCATCCTGGTCTAGTCAGTCTGTGAAGGTGAGGGGAATGATCTTGATGTCCACCAGGAGAAAGATGAATCAGAACTTACTGATCATCTTCCTGTTGCGGAGGTGGAAAGAGTGTTATAAGGGCAGGGAAGGTGGGCTGGCAAGCCCTGGAAGGATGCACTTTGTCGTGGATGGGTAAGCTCTTTGTGGATTTGAATCAAGTAACTGACCAGTTTATCTTGTGATCCAGCTGGGGCATGTGTCGTGGATTACAAAGGCTTATTGGACCTTCTCTGAGGAATGACTTTACTTCAGGCTTCAGCTGAAGCTTTTTGTATCTCACGAAAGTAATATCCCTAGCAGAGCCAATGAACCATTTAATGCATCTTGGCTATTACTCATGGATAATGTTTCCTGGGTTTGAAGAGCAAGAAGCTTCTGATATTGATAATGTTATTCAGGGCAATCAACTCCTAAAAGTGTAAAAATCATAGTAAACTTGCCTAAAAGCAGGCCAAGTTTTTCCTCCAATAAGCCTGCCATTTGTCTTCTTGCCTATCTCCTGCATTGCAGTAGATACTGTAACGGCAATTAGCCTTGAAAGCTTCATCATCTTCCATCCCACTGCACTCCTGAGATCTTGCACAAGGTCATCTTTCCATTTAAGTTCATCCCAGAAGTCAGGGTAGAAGCCTTGATGTTCTCTCAGCTGCAGTTCGCTCTGCGCTGATTTAGGGCACATTTGGCCAATGCAGAATCCAATACCTGCTCCCAAAATGCAAATGTGCTTTGTGTAGCATAGAATCATAGAATTGTTTGGGTTGGAAGGGAACGTAAAGATCATCAAGTTCCAACCCCCTGCTCTAAGGAGGGACACCTCCCACCAGACCAGGTTGCTCAAAGCCCCATCCAGCCTGGCCTTGAACCCCTCCAGGGATGGGGCAGCCACAGCTTCTCTGGGCAACCTGTTCCAGTGTCTCACCACCCTCACAGGAAAGAATTTCTTCCTGATATTTAGTCTAAATCTCCCCTTTTTCAGTTAAAACCAATGGCCCTCATCCTATTGCTCAACTCCCTGATCAAGAGTCCCTCCCCATCTCTCCTGCAGCCCCTTTAGGGACTGGAAGGGGCTCTAAAGTCTCCCTGGAGCCTTTTCTTCTCCAGGCTGAACACCCCCAACTCTCTCAGCCTGTCCTCACAGAGGTGCTCCAGCCCTCTGAGCATCATTTCATCGTTTTTCAGGTGATAATGCCCCATTACCGTTTTCCAGGTGATTCCTAGAAAAATTCCCCACAGAAATTTGACTGTCCACTGTAAGTAAAGGACGTCCCATGCTCCCCAGTTTTTCTGGTCAGTGCTGCTGTTTCCAGGTGGTTGATCAATGATTGAAGAGAGGCATCTCTATATCCTCAAATCCCTTAGTTAAGCTACTAACGGAATTGTGTGGTTAGTGTTCCCTCAAGGTGGGAATGATGGAAAAGTGGCTTTTCATATCTTTGCAGCCTCATGAAGACATCAGTGCAGTCTCCTGGAATCGCCAGGTGCAGCACATCCTCTCCTCCGCTCACCCCAGCGGCAAGGCTGTGGTTTGGGACCTCAGGAAGAACGAGCCCATCATCAAAGTCAGCGACCACAGCAACAGAGTGAGTGGAGAGGAAAGACTCTGGGACTAGCTCACAACATGGGACTGCAAAGAAATGGCACAGGCTCTTGGGATCAAGCTTTAGTTTATTATGGGAGCTGGTTGGGTTCGTTCTCTTGGAGCTGTAGCATCAAAAGACCTCTCTCTCTTTTCCCCTAAGGAAATGGAGGCTTGTTCCTAAAAGTAGGACACCCTTGCATTCAGTTTCTAAGTTCACAGCTCATCTATGAGAATCCTCCTGCATTTTAATCCCAGCTGTCTTCCTGCATCAACTTTGAACTAGTCCTTTGACTGTATGGTTAGTGGGTTTTTTTGCTGTGTAGGGGAAGGTAGAAATTCTTGCTTCCCACAGCAAAACATTGCCAGGCTTGCTTTATGTCAAAAATTCCAGGCGAGTTAAGCCCAGAATGCTGTGGAGCTGGGCCATTTGTGCTGTTGCCAGCTTGCTTTGCTGAATTTTTGGCTATTTTTGTCCTTAGATGCATTGCTCAGGAATGGCCTGGCATCCAGAAGTTGCAACCCAGCTAGTCCTTTCCTCCGAGGATGACCGCTTGCCAGTGATCCAAATATGGGACTTACGTTTCGCTACCTCTCCTTTGAGCCAGCTGGAAGGGCACACGAGGTGAGGGCCTGCTCCTTGTGTTGCTTTTTCAAGCATCTCCATCTTTAAAAGCTCCACATCTGGGAGACTGGACTTAACAAATAAAAAAAATCATAGTTCTCCTAGGCCTGTTTTGTTTCACAGATGAATCTGGTTGAGGGTAGAGATGAGAACTAGCATTTCTGAGCTTAAGCAGCATTTCTACTGCTTTCTTGGTGACAGGGTATAAAATATGACTGATCTTTTTGGGTTTTTTCTATCTATTTTAGGGGAGTTCTTTCTGTCTCCTGGTGCCAGGCTGACCCTGAACTGCTGTTGAGTAGCGCCAAAGACAACCGGATCTTGTGTTGGAACCCAAGTATGGGGGAGGTACATAATCACAGCTATAAGTACACATGCTCTGCTTTATAGAGAGTTTTGTGCCTACGTATGTGTCCCTTCTCTGTATCCTCAGGGAGTGCCAATGTGATTTCCTCCAGCATGTTTTCTGCACTCCTCCTTTCTAGAGTCAATGAGAGTGTTGTCTATAACCAGACCATAAACAACAGAGACAGGCAGAGATTTTTTTCTCTGATATATCCATGTCCAGAGATCGTAGAGGGAAGAAAGCTTTAATTAAAAGTTTCAGCTAATTATGATTACTCTTGCTATGTTCACACATTTAGTGTTCTCAGTGCCCATTTGTTTCTTCTTCCTTCTCCTGGGGTAGGAAATTTTTAGGCACGAAGCTTGACAGAAAATGAGGAGCATTTGTTAGGGTCATTAAGA